CAGGGATTACAATTGAGATGGAAAAAAAAATGTACAAAATGATGTAAAAATAAACTTTTGTAAAATTTAAAAAAAAAACTATAAAAAAAACTTAAAAAAAAAGAAAAAAACAAAAAACAGGGTCTCCTTGGTGGCACAAGAGGTAAATCATAGCACTTTGAAGCTATCTGCAGCTACTGCAGCATGAGTTCGATCCCCAGCCAGGGAGGTGACCAACATGGCACAGCAGGTCCTCCTGTCTCCACTGCTGCTCCCCTCAGTAATGTGTTTCAGTCTGCCTGCCTATTCTGCTCCCCACTCTGTCTCTGGTGAATCCTGTCATTGCTCGTGCACCTCTGGTCTATACCCCAACTCTTGTATGCATAAATAATCAAATCTTTTTAAAAAAGAAATTAAAACAAATTTTATAATGTTTAGAGGTTGATTTATAAATGACAATGGCCTTTTTATAAAAAAGAAAAAAAACGTTTAAAAACTGTGAGAAGAATGGCATATTATATGCATTTGTCAGTTTTGTTAACTTACAGGCGACAAGCAGGATTTTCCTGTCTGCTTCTTGCAGTCTTTTGTTGATACATGTTGCATAGCCTCTGGGAAATAGTGTATACTTTTGGGAATGTTAGAGTGAAAAGCAACTAATCTCATTATTATGAAAATAGTTTTGACCTGACTGTGTTGGGGGCTCCTAGAGGCCCCAGACTACTTGAAAGCTGCACAATGACATTGTAAATCTGGGATCCTACCATTTTTCTTTCCCTTTGCTCCTCTGCCCTCAAGTCCCCTTCAAGATTCAGAGTAATAACAGCAGCTTTTGTCCTTTTGTCCTGTGTATTTTCCTCTTTATCTTTTAGCCCCCTGTTCCTGGCTTGTACTTTATCTGTGCTTCGTTTGGAGCTTATCTTCTCAGATTCCATATGTGCAAAACATACCACTGTGTCCAAGAAGGGGCCTTTTTAGGAAGAAATCCTGACTCAGGAAAAGTCAGAACTCTTGACCCAGAGGTCCTTTTCAGCCTGAGGATGAAAACCTAGCCCACATTAGACTTTTAAGCAAAACCTTCCCTGACCCTTACTCCAGCAGTTTTTCCCTTACTCTGCAGTGCCCAGGTAACATGGCATTTACCACCCAGAGTCTCAGTGGCACTGGGCTGTAAACAGCTTGAAGGCAGGGATTGTCACTTGTCTGCTGTGAGAGCAGTCAATGTGAAACTCTTGAGTTTAGTCGCATCTAGTTCTTTCAGTTGGCTCTGGGAAGTCAGATCGATTAAGCTGCCTCTACTAAAAAGACTTGGGACAATCACTCTTCAGTGTGAGTTCCTTAGTAGAATGATGTTCAACTGGAGACTAACAGAAATGATTCCTTTCCTATTTAGTTCACCAAATGACAAGAAGTCCTTTTGCTCAATCGAAGGGGAATGGAATGGTGTAATGTATGCAAAATATGCAACAGGGGTAAGAATCTGTTTTATCACTTTCAAACTGCACCTAATTATTATAGCCTATCCTTTACTCTTTCTTCAACACTGACTGCTGTGGTGCCCTCGCTTAGGGCTAAAGCCTTTTCCTCCTTCTGCTTTCCCCTCAAAAGTACAGGTAATAGAATGGTTGTTATTTCCTCTCAGAATACTGAAGAAAAATGTCCAAAAAAAATATTCATGGCACATACCTAGCACCCAAAAAACATCAACAATATCATCAGAATCATCAGAATAGATGGCATTTTTGACTTGGAGTGTCTTAAATGTAAAAATCACATCAGTGTACTTAACTTTAGGACTAATTATTTATGGGTCTGATTCTTCAGCATGTATCGCATAGCCATAATGAAAATGCCTGTTGAACTGAACTGCGTCTATCAAAACTTAACAGAACTATGTAGTAGGCTGAAGATTGCATATGAAACTTACTATATGTGTTATTACATACATAGGGGTACCTCAGAGATATTGAAGATTTTATTCCAGAACACTTAAGAAAGTATTTCGTAAAACAAGTCACATGAACACTTCAGTTTCTCTTTGTATATGAGCATCATTTACATAATACTGTAGTTTATTAAGTATGCAGTAACATTATCTAAAATATATATA